CCCACTCTGCCTCTGCCTTTTGACATCTTACTCATTTGTAGCAGTCAACAGTGATCTGTAGGCATCAAAAGCTACTCTTGCTGTCTGAAGCAAGTATAGCTGTTTAATTACTGCTGTTTAATTAAGTACTTACAAAATCACTGGGATGGGAGGAAGTGAGGCCTCTGGTCTGGGTCTCCAGGCATGACGCCCACAACACCAGCACTCAACTGGCCCACCAAAGGGAGCCACTCCTGTTTTCACCTCCCGGGAGATGGGTAATCAGGAGGCTACCGCTGGAGCAATGGCTTTCAGGACATAACAGTGAGGGCTGCAGTCCAGGGGAAGGTGGCCATCACCACAGCCACTGCAATTGACTCTCAACACCCACACAGCCAATGACTGGACACTGGAACACTGCTTGTTAGGAGTAAAAGACTAAACATATGAAGATGAGGAAGATGACCTTTGCTTTACCTTAGTCTTCTAAATACATGAATATATAAAAGTAAATAAAATGAATATATAGGGGTCCAGCACAAATAATGCCCCTCTTATTACAAAATCTTTTAGTACAAAATCATAAGTATGTAATTCTGTAATGTAAGAATATCACACTCAAGCATACCATATGACATTTTAGGTGAAATGTTCAAATTAACACTAAATTATTACACCTTTATTATTACCCTATCGACCACATTCAAGCATGTATCACTTCTGCAGGACTCTGTATATGTAAACCTATACTCCAAATATAAATACAAATATATGACTATGAGATTAAGTAATTTGCATAGATTGTAAGCATCTTGACTTACAAAACACATTTTATTACTTTTGCCCTTCCATTATACTCCTAGAAGAGTGTTTTGCCCAAATGCTCAATAAATGTTTACTGAATTAGTTGAAAATAGATATGTTATTGGAAACTATCTTCCCCTGTTTGGGCTTTAGCGTTCTCCTTTGAGAAGTAAGGGGCTCGGATGCACTGATCTCTAAATTCTTTCAGCTTATATACCTGGAGCTTCCTTGGGTTGAGTTGCAGGGGCAGCTGCAAGAAGAAGTATCATAGTTCTCTGTGTGTCAGGCTCTATTCTAAGCACTTAACATCCCATGTTTCCTTTGAGCCTCTCAACAACTTCATGAGAAAGTTATGGTCCTTGTCCATTCGTACTTCACATGTGAGGAAATGAGTGCTCAGAAAAGACAAGTCATTAATCCATGGTCACACTACTAGTGAGTGGCTGAGCTCAAAGGCCAAGTCATGTCTACCTGACTCCAAAGCCTTCCTTCTCTCAAGAGAGAATGACATGTTAGGCATAGTTTTGTCTTCTTGTCTTCCTTCCCCCTTCTCATGTATTCTTGTTTTATTTTCATCATCATCCAAAAGCATGGCAGGTCTCCTGGCTATATCTTATGGGCCTTACTCCTTTTCTTGGAACTGAAGTGAAGTATAGTTTTCTCAGTATTGAACACATGTGACATATGTTGAAAGCTGAGAGTCATTTTCATTGCTGGGTTGGTTCTTGATAAACATTAATGAGCTGGTCCCATCTCCCTGAACAGGGACACATACTACAGGACCTGGTTTTGATATCCATCAAGAGATTAAAAACTAGAGAATACCTTATTGAACAATTGCTTTTTTGGCATTGATTATCTAATATTGTTCTTTTTATAAAACTTGCTTATTTTTGTAATAAAATATTCGATATCATTTTAGGTTTATAATCCATATTTGTATACATAGAATGAGATCTAGAAATACATGCTAAAGGTATTAACCATGTTTATATATGAATAGTACAGTTAGGATTTTTTGTGGATTCTCTTATGTGCATATACTGATTTTTTTCTATCGTGAATTTGTATGACTTTTGTAAGAACAGGAGAATGATAAAGCAAAGTGTTAACCATGCTTTGAATTGGCATGCTCTTAAAGCTGAATCCATCACATGCCTTTCCTCTGTGCCCCTGACCCCATCAGTGAGATGCAACACTCTTGTATGCCACCAACCCATAGAAACTGAACTAGAGCATTCACTGGTTGGTTTGTCCATAGCTTAGAAATTCTAGTGACCAGGACTCTCTAGGTTTGTGACTTTTGACTTTCAGAATGAATTTCCATACATAGTTTTATGTGCCTTATTTGATATGAAAACAACAAAACTGTTCCTTCCTTAGAACTATAACTTACAAGGGACTTGAGAAGGTACATTATTTTATGTCAAAGTCAAAGAGTATTCCATAGTGGGAAATAAAATTATTTTAATTAATTTTTTAAATTTATTGATTCCAGAGAGAGAGGAAAGAAGGAAGGGGAGAGGGAGGGAGGGAGGGGGAAGAGAGAGGAAGTGGGGAGAGAGAGAAACAGAGGGAGAGAGAGAGAGAGAGTGAGAAACATCTATGTGAGAGAAAGATCAATTGGTTGCCTCCAGTAAGTGCCTCAACCAGGGACTGAAACCACATTCTAGGCATGTGCCCTAACTAGGAATCAAACCCAGGACCTTTCAGTTTATAGGATGATGATCCAACCAACTAAGCCACACAGACCAGGTTGGAAATAAAATTATTTAAAAAATAAGATTATAGAATGGTACACTTGAAACCTATATAATTTTATTAACCAATGTAACTCCAACAAATAAAATTAAAAAGTAAAAATTATCACTGGTATTTGTGCAGTATTTTAGGTTTACATGGTTTATTCACTTCTCTCACCTCATTTCCTCTACACAGTCTTCTACATGGTTAGGACAGAAATTGTTATTTAATTTTACAGATGAGAATACTGAAGCCTGGAGTGTCCAGCTAGGAAGAGACACAGCCAAGACGTACAGAATCCACATTCTCTTATGTTTATCACTTCAACACAGCATTTCCATTAATTAAATGAGATGATACTAGGTATTCAATAAAATGATAGCTATTGCTGCTGGCTGCCTCTCCTTCTCATCACTGTCCTCCTCCTCCTCCTCCTCCTTTTCCTTCTACTCAGTGTCCTTATGGCAATTTATATTTTGAGAGACTTCTGTCTTTTTATGAGTGTAGTAGAACCTCCAGAAGAGGAAGGGTGACATCAAGCGCAGAAAATCATCCCTGTCACACCTCCTTCCCTTTCCTTTCTCTCTCCTCTTCCTTCCCTCCATCTTTCATACTTTAGTTCCGTAAATATATTTCAGACAATCTTTTATTGCCTTAAAACATGTGATTTACAAATAGGAAATACAAATTCTGTTTTTAAAGTAAAGCAATGGATTCAGTAAACATTTTAATATATAGGGTCTGGCAAAAGTAATGCCCCTATTCATTACAAAATCTTTTAGTACAAAATCATAAGTATGTATTTCTGTGACAGAACAACATCACACTCACACATACCGTGACATTTTAGCTGAAATGTTCAAATTAAAACAATAAATTATTACAACCATATTGTTACTCTACCAACCACACTTGAGCAGGCATTATAGCTGCCAGACCCTGTATTTTAAAGGGCTGAAGAGTAAACACCTTTCTATTTGTCAAAAAAGTAAAGTACACTTTCTTTCCAACTCTATTCCACCCCTAACTCACTCCCCTACCTGAAGTGCACTTCTTTTATTAAGTAGTGTCTGTACACACACACACACACACACACACGCACACGCACACACACAAACACACACCTGGCTCCTCTGGCAGTGGCCCAAGCACTGCAGCACTGTTGCCAGTGCAGGATTCTCCTTACACTGAGTCCAAGGCAGTAGCCACAGCAAAATGGCACAGTGGTCATGCTTGCAGGTGTTCAATGTACAAGAGAAATGACCAAAATGCCTTATTTTCAGAAGATCCTGCTTAGGTATATGAATGGAGTCAGACAGCAGGTTAGGCAGGAGAGGAGGTCAGCTTGGGTAGGTTTAAAGGCATTCCCTTTAAATTTAGAACATTTAATAAAGGTTATTGCTGGAGGGGGGTGGGTGTGCAAATACCGTCCCCACCAGAGGAGGGATATACTTAATGCGGGCAGACTCAATTCCCACCTCAGGGGCCACCTTTCCTTCTGCTCCTTTCCTGTCATCTCAGAAGCAGCTTTGGGATTTCTCAGGGTGGGATAAATCAAGGTGTGTTTTCAGTAAAGATCACAAGAAGTTGGCTGTTATTGCCCTCTCTCCAGAAAAAACAAGCCCTTAGTTTCTCAAGGCAGTGTACAGACGAAGGCACCAGAAGTGACTGCAACACACACAGCATCTCTGGGTAAGGACTTCTTTTGTAGAGAAGAACCTTCCCATTCAAATTGAGCTACCAGAGTTCCCAAATACAGGTGTCCACAAACATACTCAGAAGGTATCCTCCAGCTCCCTCACACACCTGGGTAGTTACCTCTCCCAAATCAGTTTCTCCTTCATGGCCACAAAGTTTTTCTCAAGTTTTATTGGTGTTTGGTTTGATCAACTCCTAGGAAAGTTGGTTGGGAGACAGATCCCAACATTAGGGCAGGAAAACTTAGGCCCAGAGTGCCCTTGGATTTGTTCCAATGGAGCTTTCTCTCTTACAGAATTTTAGCAGTCAGTTTGATGACCTAAGAATGACCCTTATCTAGAGTAGCTGCTGCTCCTTAGAATTTGGACTTCTAAGGGTCTTGAGACACTAGAAAAAGTTAATATCCTGAATAAGCTTTCTTTCCATGATAATTTGGCAGGCTTTCTCCATGAGGGACAGAGGTGAGGAGAAAAGGCAAGGCACCAAGCCAGAACTGACTCCACTACTCACCAGCCTCTCCGAACATCAGCTCCCAGAACTTAAAAGGGGAGGGAGTTGGACTGGTGAAAGGTGTGATTTCCCCCAACCAGACCATGTAAGCTCTTGAGTGGGTTCCAGGAAGCATGGGCACTGCTGTCCAAGCTATAAACATTCCAGCCAGTTCCTTGCAAAAGCTGCTCCTGCAAAGATCTTTGTGCTGACAGCAACAGCTGTGCTGACTGAAAAGGTGGTGGTGGTGGGTTCTCCTTGTTCTGAGATGCAGCCACCTTTTTCTCTCAGAGATGCTCTTCAGACACAGTGGTGGGTACTTTGCTGGTATTGCTCTCCTCCTCCTCCTCTTCCTGGAGTTTATTCTCAGGATTTTATTTGTTTGCTCTCTGCCTCCGGAGATCTGCCTTGATGAATGCAGTGAGGGCTGTCCCAAGGGTGAGGAAGACACATAGAAAAATGTTCCCATAGTTGCTGATAATCTGGCCCTGGGAGATGGTAAAGATGATCCCAAATACCTGGGCAGATGTGTTGAGGAGGCCAGATGACATGCTTTCTGATTCTGGGTATGTCAGCTCCACAGCAAACTCAAATCCCAGTGGGAGATAGCCAGTCATAAAGAAGCCTATTGTGCCAGCAGTGATGAACACTACCCACAGATGTCCCAGGTTCAAGGTCATGGTATACACCACCATGCCCACCAGAGTCATGATATAGACAACCAGGACTGTCTCCTTGTAGGTTTTGGACCTATCCAGCCAGATGCCTGAGATTACAGCCCCAAGCATTCCTGCAATGATGATGATGAAGCCAATTCTTCCAGTGTTCACTTCTTCCCCCAGATAGTGCAAGATCACCATGCGATTCAGCAGAGTGGACAAGGCATATAAAGCCCCAACATTCAGACCATGTATGAAGTTCATGTTTTTGAAGGGCCGAGTGATGGAACTTAAGTACGAAGCATCAGGGGATGCCAAGACATAGCCCAGGGACTGGGTCCTGCTGGGGGGGATATTTAGGCTTCTCCTTGAATATAATGATGACAAGGATAAAAAAAAGAGTAGCAAAACCTCCTATTAGGCAGAACATGAGGTGGATGTTGTAGGCAAGCTTGTCCTTGTCTTCGATATTGGGTACCAAAATAGGAGGGACAAAGAACCCAATTGCAATTCCAAGCTGATTGCCAAAGACAGTTATGGAGCAGGCCTTTGAAACCTCATTAGGTCCAAACCAGACTGAAGCTATACAGGAAGGTATGCCCAGGATGAAGACCTGGGTCACAGAGAAGATGACCTGGCCCAGTATGGTGACTGCAAAGAGATGTGGCTGCAGGCTGCCCAACTTCACCCAGGCCCCCAGGTGGTTGAGAGCAGAACCAGCAAGGGCAATGGTGCTCAGGCCAAATTTTTCCAGGAGCCAGGCCACTGGCATTAGTAGAAAGATGTAGGTCAGCATGTAGCACATGGACAGCCAGTCGATGGCAAAGCGACTGACCTAATAAAAGTTCAAGACATTACTAATGGAGCTGTACTGGATCCACTGGAAGGCATTGCACATTGTGTAGCAGCTAAATAACAGGACCACTGCCCAATGAAGCTTGCTCACCTTGATCACTGTGAAATCCTTGTGTCCTGAGTTATGGGGTGTGCTGAGAAACTTGGGCTGGCCAAGATACCTGGATGGGCCAAGGTACTGGAGTGGGTTGAACTCCTGGGGTACACAGAGATGCCGATGTGGGCAGACATGCTGGGATGTTCCTGGAGCACAAACTCCTGCTCAGGGGTGCCATCTCTTTCCTCCAGGTTGGGATTTTCATTTACCATGACCATAGCCTCTCCCGGAGCCCTGAACTGGTGCTGAGGATTCTAGCACTCTTAAGGGATGGTAGCCTATGCTGGTCCCCTGAAGCTTGTAGGGCACATGTCTCAGTCTGTTGGTATGTCGCAGAAGAAATTGAGACTCAAACTTGCATAAAAGCCACAAGTTGGTTTCCAAATGCTCACCTCGAAGACTTTGCCCTCACTTTTCTGTGTGGCCTGCTACCCCCAGGTCAGCTGCAGACCCCTCAGCCGTGCATCCTAGCTGCCGGTGCCTTTTCTTGTTCTAAGGCATTTTGGCCACGTTCAGCCCCTGGTGCAGGAAAGAATTTGCTCTTCGTGTAGCCACTTCCCCTGGCTCTGTCCGCTCAGGGATAGCTTGGGGCCTAGCCCCCTAGAGCCCACGTGACCGCCCCTCCTCAATTTCACTGAGCTTCCCTGGGCCTCCTTGGTCCTCCTACCTTGCCCCTCCTCTCCTTCCTGCCTCTTACCCTGCCCACTCCCAATGACCTTGGGCTTGGAGACCCAGATGTTTTGCCACAGTTTGCTGGGTGCATTCCATCCCAATGTCCCTGGTGCCATGGAAACCGTCCAATTAACCCCTACCCCCTAAACTGTCCCTCCAATTCATTTGCCCCTCCCAGAGGACTACACAGAAAAAATCCCACCTGCCCTTTGAGGTAACCCTACAAATAATTTCTTCACTTCAGTCCACATCTTCTGGCTATAAATATTTGTTTTAAACTGTCCTGAAGGTTCACTGGAAACTCAGACTTAGCTATGGCAGATGGCCTGAGAGGCCAGCTTTCAGAACCAGATTCTTCTCTTTTCAGCAGTGAAAGATAAATATTTTACAATCAGCATATTTTATCCATAAACTAAGGCTTTCTGATTACTTTCCATCAGCAGAGCCTAATTTATTTGTTGCCTTGGCTTTTTAAGATGTGTCTTGTATGTAATGTATTCATGACAACCAGTTACTTTTGTTTCAAGGAAAGTCTTAGAGGAACAAGTTACAATATGCTTCCCCTCCAACTGTAATTTTAGATGTGATAAAATAACATCTACAAGCATTACTATAAGGGGCCAGATGTGGGCTATAATAGTGCCTAGCATATGCCTCTATTTATCATACTTTGTACTTGTCAGCTTATTCCTCTTCACTCTACTGTGTACTCTTTAAGGGTAGGTCTGCATCTTAATCACTTTTATATCCCAAGGGTCTGATACATATTAAAAGTAGAATAACAGTGAAAAATAACATGGCCTCTGCACAAAAGGATAATTTAAAAGCTTCTGAAGCTTTCTGGAAATATCCTGAGGTTTGAGTTCATCATCTGTTCAGCATGTGCAGGAGTGATTTTACAGAGTGGCTGCTCAGGGACTCTATCTTTCTCCACCACCCATTTCTTCTTGGTCTTCTTGGTCTTCTTGGTCTCCTCCTTGTCTTTCAGGGAGATGCTTGCACCAGTAAATCCTGGCTCCTTCACACTTGGCAATGAAGAGTTTAAAATCTGTCTATAAAGAATGTCAAAGTCCCGTTTGAAGTCTATGAACTAGCTTTCCCATGTTTTCATTTTATTTAGAGTCCTAACTAGATCTTAGAAGTTGTCATCTCTGCTAACATATTTCTGAGTCTGAGCCCAATAAAACAAATCATTAAAATATGTAATTCAGATGCCAGAAACAGTAATGAGGATAAACATCTTGAAGGCCCAAATTGATTATCCTGTGCTCCCAGTCCATCTGTGAAAGCTGTTTCTCTATCCAACCTTAAAGGTTTGTAAGTGCAAGGGCCATAAGACCACAATCAGCAGGAAATGACAAAACTCTGGGCTTCTAAAAGTGAAGCCCAACCTTTAGAAGTGCATGACATTGGAATTGGACAAATTTATGCTAAAGACATAGACAGAGGTAGCACCTCTGTGGCTGACAAGCTGGATGGCCCTGGGTAAGTCACCAAACTTCCCTGTGACTCTGTGGAGTCATCTGACAAGGGAGGACACTCAATATTGAGTGCCTATGTAGAGTTACCAGGCAGCTTAAGGTCACCTCTGTGTATGGAATGTGCTCTGAAAGCTGGAATGTGCTGACATGCTTGTAGGAAGAGTTCTTCTTAGCGTGGCTGCTTGGTTACAGATCTTGCAATAGAGGTCAAAGTTTGCTTTAGCTCCACTTTGCAGACATTTAAGATTAGTATTCACATGAATTATTACTCAAATTACTTCTGAAATCTTATTATTGCCCAGAGAAGTCAATAGTGTGAAGCATGCGTACCAAGCATGCCATATTTTTTTACACAGTAGAAATGATCTTGAAGAATTGAATGAAAATCACATAGTTATACAACAACTCATACAATCACATATACAATCACATAGTTATACAAAATTTTACTTAAGGGAAGTGTTGTGTTTCTTTTTTTGCGAGAAACCTGTGATAAATTATTTGGTAAAGGAAAAAGCCCTTTTTTAATGGACATAACCACCTTCTATTTCTTCTCTAAGTTTAGATTCTTATGTCATCTTTTCTTCAGCCTGCAATGTATCCTAAAGTCTTGTAATGTAAGATAATGTGCTTTATCATATTCTAAAAAGATGATAATGTAATTTAAGTGTTTAGCAAATAAAAAGCAAATACTTACTCATGGTGATAGTAATTGTACCTGTTTATTGAATGCTTGCTATGCGCCCCACACTGTGCTAACTGCTTTATATGCTCTGTCTTATTGGAGCCTCATTATTTGACAGATGTTATGAGGCTGGACTATAGTAATTTATATTGTATAGAGTTTGGAGCCTGAGTCATGGGACTGGGAGAGAACATAAAGGTCTCAGGTTAAGAGGAGGACCCTGTAGTCCAGAAATGAAAAGCAATTTCCCTTGAGCCACTCAGCAAGTTGTTGGAAAGACTGGGATTAGAAAGGACATTTCCAGACTCCCAGCCCAGTGCCTGTTCCCCACACTGCCCTGTCTCTACTGCATACGACACCTCATGATCTATGGATGCCTGATCATAGTGGTTGCAGGTTAAGGAATTAATAAATTATAAATAGGTTTTATATTTTAAAGTGCCCAGCAGTCCTGAGTCCAGTGCCTTTTGTACCTGAGACCTGTTTAAGTTTGGTGAGAGCTGGCTAGATAAGGAGTCCTACTGAAAAATAATGCTAATATTAATAATGGCCTTGGTAAAATATATAAAGAAGAGTAGAGTTTAAAATGGAAAAATGTTGAAGGACCTAGAAAATCACAGAAGACCCAGTATTGGGCCCAATATAATTGAAACCACAGTTGGGTAAACTTTATAAAGGGCCAGGTAGTAAATATGTGAGGCTTTGAAGTTCATATTGTCTCTGTTCTAATTACTGATCTTTGCCACTGTAGTATGAAAAAGCCACAGATTGTACAGAAACACATGGTCAGGACTGTGTTCCAGTAAAACTTCATTTAAAAAACAGGTGGCAGGCTAGATTGGGTTTATGAGCCATACTTTGCTGACCTCTGACTTATACAATCCTGGTCCTACATCAAGGAGTGTGAGTTGATATGTTTTTGACTGCACTGGGGTATGTAATTCTCCTTTTGTCAGGCAGGAAGGAAATGGCTAAGCCCAAGTTACGGTAGAACAGTTCAGTGTTGCCCAAGGTCCCTGGTTACCCATGAGTGTGCCAAAGGCCACATTTGTCAGAGGGTATTCCTTACTGATAGAGTGGCTATTGAGTTTCACTTGTTCTTTTTGGAAACACAGCTTAAGAGGTATTTTGAGCAGTGAAGTCATATCAGCTAATGTCTCCTAGTGATAATGATGTAAGGAGGCTTGACTTGGGGTGGTGAGTACACAATACAGTACACAGATGATGGGTTATGGAATTGTGCACCTGGACCTTGTATAATTTTGTTAACTAGTGTCACCTCAATAGATTTTAAAATTTTTAAGTAAAAAAATCAATTAGAAAACAGAGAAGCTGTAGTCTTAGGCTCACCAAATACCAAGACCTACAAACTGCTTCTTTGAACTTAATTTCCCTCCCCACCATTGTTCTCCTTATTCAGTCAAAAGTATCTGAGTAATGATAATGATGGTCATGCTGGTTAATAATTATTGAGGACCTTCTATGTGTTAGGCAATTCACCTGACATTAATCCATTTTCATCATTGACTCCTACCAACAACTCCATGAGTCAGATACTATCATTTCCCCCATTTTGCACAATTTTGACAATTGCCCTCAAGGAGGTTCATGGCTTGATCAAGGTCAAAGAGCAATTAAATGGCTGAAGTGGATCTAAAGCCCAGGTTAGGTGATGATGAAGTCTGCTGTTCTGACCACTCTACCACACTTCCATCTCTGCCCCAGGTTCTTGAGGGCACAGTTAGCCTGCCTTTCAAAGTAGTCATAATCTTTATTTTCCTCTGAATCTGGGTCTGAGAATGTTTTCTCACTTCTTGCTGTCCCACATCACTCTTGTCTGTCCTTGATTCCCAGTCTCAGGCCTGTAGCACTTCATACCTGGACTGCCACATTGGCTCCTGACTGGCCTTTATTTAAAATAGCTCTGTTGACTAGAGAGAATGGGGGCAGGGAGGAATAATGCAGGAAAGAAGGGGAAGGGTCAAGTCAAGGAACACGTATACAGGACCCATGGTAATGGACAACAGGGTAGGGACTGACTGTGGGAGCAGAGAATGGGGGCGGGGGGCAGAGGAAAGCAATGGGGGAAAACTGGGACAACTGTAATTGAATAGTAAAAAAATAAAATAGCTCTATTGAGATACAATTCACACACCATACAAGTTACCTGTATAGTCCATTTAAGAACATTTTTATCGCTTCAGAAAGAAGCCCCAAACCCCTCAGCTACCACACCACTATCCCCTGTGCCTCCTCCCTCCAGCCCTAACAAACTGTGAATCTACTTTCTGTCTCTTTGGATTTATCTATTCTGGACATTTCATATAAATGGAACCGCAGAGTAAGTGGATGTCTGTGACTGGCTTCTTTTGCT